ATAAATCCAATTTTCTGTACTGTCCACGTGAACAGTGTCGGTTATTGTTTATGTGAATAGTGCCGATTAGTAGTTCACGTCATTTTTAAAAATATTTTTTTTAAAAAGTATACAGGAAAGTGAAACCGTGCTCTGATACCATACTGTAATGGTCCAATTTTTATTTATTTTTACTATAAACACCGAAACGTTACCAAAAACTCACTTTTCTTTATTTTAAATGCAGAACTATATAAAAAGATTTTTTAATAATCAAATAACTGCAATATTTATAAATCTAAATTTGAAAATATGAAAATCGTATCTAAATATAAACATAAACTCTTAGCAAATTCAAATATCACATTCTGAATAAATTAAACTGACCGATAAATTTTAAATACGACAAATTTATTTCTTTTTCTTTATCCACTTGGCAGCCCGCATCAATAATTCGCCACTGTTCCAATCAACCCGAACTAACCTGTAAAATTAATATACGAGTAAGTATTTTAAAATACCCAATAAGATACGTGCAATTTTCATACACCATTACATAACAAATAAATTATACACTTCATACTGCTCTTCTCTTATGGAGTATATCGGTGACTAAGCGACAAGCACATCTTAGGTCCTCTTAAATTCCCATAGAAATATCATATCTCTTTTTCTAGAACCCGAAGGTCCACTAGTAATACATGCATATTAATTGTATATAAGAGCATTAGGAAAATTTAAAACACTTTGCACATAAATGTATCTTACCTCGTTTAAAAAAAAAAATTTGAAACACGTTGAAAATCTTTCCTCCGCCTTAAAAGTACGTGATTAAAATATTTGATATTTCCAAAGCTATTCTCTCTCTCTCTCTCTCTCTTCCTTTTCTCTCACTCTTTTTCTTTCTTCTCTCTCTTTCACGTGTGAATACTTTTGGTGTGGTAAAATATGAGATCTTTACCTAGTATTTATAGTAATAAAAAGTGGTTGAGTTATTCTAGAAAACATGTACCATGAGTCGGGATAAGGTCGAGTTTAATTAGATTGAATCACCAAAATTTAGCATAATCATACTAAGGATTAATATTAAACTAAAAAAAAAAAGATTAATAATTTAATATAAACTTTACCCGTTTCCAGAAAGAGGAAAAGAATAGGATTATAACTATATAAAATTCTATTTACCTTGTTTTCTTTCAATTGTGTATAACTTAATACGTTCTTATCCAAAATAACTTTTCTCGAGTCATAGACTTCTAATTAATTACGACGTTCGAAATGAATCCAATATTGATATACATATCATTACTTTAACAAAATCCAATTATTTGACCCCAAATATATAATATATTAATATTTATTTCACCTTAATCTGTCACTTTCAAAATAATAAAATATATAGAATAAATAATTATTTATTTTTTTAAAAAAAATTTCGAAATGTTACAGAACGAGCATATTATTGGCCGCAAATGCGTGATCAAGTGTAGACATATGTCCGAACATGTCTTGTGTGCCAATAAGACAAAGTGAGAATAAATTACCGCGCGGGACTTCTTGATTCTCTTCCTGTTCCGGATCAACCGTGGGACATGGTTTCACAGGGTGCCTTTCTTCTTGGCACAGAAAGAGACACCGTGCGGCAGTAGTCTGCTCTGCTAGACTACCTTCCGCCTTTTCTCAGTCGCGTTGAGACGAAAAAAAATTTGATTACAATTTTGTAGAAAGCATAGAATAGAGAATTTGAATACATTGAAAGTAAATTGAACATTGATTGATGAAAACTGAACATTACAATTGAAGAAAGCAGAAAATTACAATTGCTGGTGCAGGGGACAGACACCAGTGAGCTTGAATGATTTTTGAATGACTAATACTCCCTATAATAGCATTTGGAAGAAAGCCGTAAGTGGCAGGAGTAGACATTTAAAAGACAAGGAATCATAATAAATGTTTACTAATATCAAAGCTATTTTACAGTTGAAATAACTATTACAATGAAAAAAATTATAACTCAAACTTGAACTAATATTTACAATATGTGGTCGAAGATGGACAAACTGCGGCTGCGATAGTGTCAAGAGGCTAAGTAAAGTTGATATCTGATCGCTTCTTTGAGGAGATCCCAAGAATCTATTCGGACCTTGTTGGCCTGAATGTCAGCATATTTGGTTGGCCACCATAATTTTGCATCTCCACCCAAATACATGGTAGTTGTGGTTACCTTTCTAGCTTCGTCTTCAATCGAAGCTGGGAGAAAGTACCGTTCCATGTCAAACAAAAAGTTTTTGACTTCTTTTGCATCACGTGCCCCTCTGTAGGTACACGATTCAAGAATTTTGAGTCTAGGAGCATACTCAGGTACGGGAGTTTGTCCATTGCCCATCGCACGTTGGAGTACTCGTAATTGAGCTCTCAACGCTTCCATTTCATCCTACAGATCAGGAATGATTACAGCAACTTCAGTCATTGCTGTGCAAGCCCTTTGGCTTTCATCCAGTTGGATGTGTAATCCATGAATCTCGAATTCTACCATCTCGACTTTTTCCTTGAGACCGTCCATGGCATAACACAACCTAATAGTTGTCTCATCAAGCGCATCCACACGCTGTTTAGTAGTACTCTTCTTTTGAGGCTCTTCCACCTCAGTGGTGTGGGATGTAATTGGATCCATAGCTTTCTTATCGAGGGTCGTGAGCCACAGCTCTAATACAAATTTCACGGGGTGCCTTTCTTCTTGGCACAAAAAGGGACATCGTGCGGTAGTAGTCTATTCCGCTAGACTACCTTCCACCTTTTCTCGATCGCGTCGGGACGAAAGAAAATTTGATTACAATTTTGTAGAAAGCTTACAACAGAGAATTTGAATACATTGAAAGTAAATTGAACATTGATTGATGAAAACCAAACATTACAATTGCTGGTGCAGGGGACGGACACCAGTGAGTTTGAAAGATTTTTGAATGACTAATACCCCTATAATAGCATTCGAAAGAAAAATCTAAGTGATAGGAGTAGACGTTTAAAAGACGATTAATCATAATAAACATTTACTAATATCAGATCTATTTTACAGTTGAAACAAATATTACAATGAAAAGAAAATTATAACTCAAACTTAAACTAATATTTACAATGTGCGGTCGAAGATGGGCAAACTGCAGTTACGATAGTGTCAAGGGGTTAAGTAAAGCTGCAGTCCTTGACACATGGTCACCATGGATTTCATTATTACCTTGCCAAAATCTGAAGGGTTCGGATCAATAATTGTTGTTGTTGATCTGTTTTCTAAGTATGCTACTTTCATTCCGGCCCCTAAAGATTGCACTACAGAGGAGACGACAAGGTTATTTTTCAAGCATGTTGTGAAGTATTAGGGATTGCCTAAACATATTGTTAGTGATCGGGATCCCCGCTTCACGGGAAAATTATGGACAGAGTTGTTTAAACTTCTTGGATCGGATTTGCACTTTCCTAATAGTTCTCACCCGCAGACGGATGGACAGACAGAACAGGTGAACGCATTGTTGGAGTGTTATCTTTGTCACTTTGTTAGTGCTAACGAGCGGGATTGGGCGAAGTTGATGGACATAGCTCAGTTTTCCTACAATTTGCAGAAAAGTGAATCCATGAGACATAGTCCATTTGAACTTGCAATGGGGCGACAATCTACAATGCCCCACACATTACCTATGGTTGGTAATTCTAACCGAAGTCCCGGAACAATAAAAATGGCTAAGTCATGGGGAGATCATGTGGACTTAGTTAGAGAAAGCCCGTAAGAGAATGAAGAAATGGGCCGATGAGAGACGAAGACCATTAGAGTTCAACATTGGAGATCAAGTACTTATGAAAGTGTTGCCTCAACAATTCAAAGTCTACCGCAAAGTTCATATGGCTTGGTTAGAAAGTATGAAGGTCTGTTTCCCATCATAGCTAAGGTTGGAAGAGTTTCTTACTGGCTAGATCTTTCAAGCACTTTAAAGATCCACCTAATTTTTCATGTGAGCATGTTAAAGCCATATAGGCCGGACTTCAACGATCTAGGGAGAAACAAATCAAGAAGGGTGCCTCCCATTGTCACAAAATCTTTTGAGAAAGTTGTTGAATCCATTTTGGTGGATCGAGTGGTGAGACGGAAAGGTGTTCCCTCTTGCACTCAATATTTAATCAAATGGAAGGGGTTGATCGAGTCTGAAGCTACTTGGGAAAATGAAGGGGATCTATGGAAATTTGAGTCGAAGCTACGAAACTACATGACGATGAGGGCGTCGCCAAATTCAGTAGGGAAGTGACTTACGCCCCACACGGTCGCGACCAATCCGTCCGGGTAGCGGCCGCAAAACAACCCGAGTAACGTGTTTCAGCAGGACGGAACAACTTGTGGTAAGGGACCCAGGTAGACTCAGGCTAGGACGCAGGTTGCCTGAAGCGGACAGTTTTCCAGCACGTTAATGAGGTTTTTCTAAGTCCTGAACCAACCATTTTGGAAGGAAAAAAAAATGGACCTGCAGCCGGATATTTTAGGGATGCAAGTGGGAAACTTGCACAACTTGTCCACTTGTGCCACTTGCAAGATATTATTAAGATGCAAGCTAATATCGAGTTGGCAAGGATAATATCAAGATACAGCTAAGTATGAGTTGTATCCACTTGCAAGGAAAATGGTAGAGAATGTCCACTTGATGACAACTAAGCATGAGTTGTAAAGTGGAATGCAACTTGTCAAAGGAGGTTTAAGACAACTTACATCCAATGAGGGCCCTTGGATCAAATTAATCTTGACCATTGATTTGAAAGCAACTTGCAAGGTTTTTGCCTATAAATAGAGATTGAAGTCTCATTTGTAAATCATGTAGAGTGAAGTGAGTTTATACATTAAAGAGATTGTAAAGTTTTGCCTCTCATTTATACAAAGAAAGATTCCCCAGCCTTACTTATTTTCCATATATTCCTTACTCCAAAATTCATTTCTCAAAGTGGTTATAATTTAGCCTCATTGGTTAAATTATTTATGAGCATAGAAAGACTGACTTAACGTTTTCTCGTGAGGGATGAGAATTTTCGAATGTTAAGTTCGCATGATTCTAGTTGTTTGAGTGCAACAAAACTAGATCTGTGACAACGCTCACACTCGGATCATGACTGGACCTAGAATTAATAGCCTTGGGCGTATTGATCGACACGTTTACATCGGGTTACTTGATGCAAAACAAGGAGTGCAAATTTTTGGTGTTCACAGTGCTGGGAAGGAGCTTGCTGAGGATGTTGACTTTGAAAAGGTATGTTGCTGCTTCTTGTCCTGTTTTACTCTCTTCGTCTGTATTCTCTTATCGAGTTTTAGTTACCTTTTAACTTGCCGTAAATGGCACTTAGTACTGAGATAGTTGCTTAAATATGCTCAATGAGTGGTAAAGCCGTTTACCGTATTTTACTTTTCTCTTCTTGTACAGCTTGTGTTTCGGACAGTTGGATACTCTGGTACAGATATAAGAAACGTAATCAATGAAGCATGAATTATGTCTATAAGTTATTATGCTTAATCCAAGGAAATTCATTTTAATTTTACTGGTTTATTCACTTTGATGTACTCGTGCTTGTGTGCTTTTAATTTCAGCTCCAATGATGGATGAAGCTTTGGTTATGTAGAAGGAAAAATGAGAAATATTTATAAAAATCATAGTGATCATTGTCACAGATGTGCTTTATTAATAATTTCGGTTGGGCAATGTCTAACAATTGCACGCCTTTATGATTGAACACATCTCTTTTATTTTTCTCAACTAGCTTAATTCGCACTAATGGTTTTGTGTTCTGTAATGAAATGGTACCTACTGTTATGTCAGACTGATTTTTAGCAAAAGCATCTAATCTTTCGCATGTTTGAAATTTTGTATTATGGTAAAAGGTAAGCTTCCTTTGTCTACTATGCAATCAAGTTTTTCTTGTTAATTGTGTTGATGGGTGAGATATAAGATTGTCGCGAGCTCAGAACACATTAGATTCATGTCTATTGATGGTAGACTGTTATAAAAATGTAGCGCATAAAATGCCTCCCTTGGGGGGATCTAAGGGGAATTTACTATCCTTTTTTGCCCCGGTGGAATTGATGCAGACTTTCAATTAACAAATGATTTGGAAGGCACAACACTGGTCTGTTAAGACATACGATCCTTCAAACATGCTCTCTTGAGAAATTAAGTCACCTTGCAACTGTGGTTACATTTAAGAATGTTATTGCTTCATAATCAAATCTTTGACCAACATGCATATATATACTATTTATATTAATTAGGATAGTAATCTTAGAAAGATGCAATCCCTAATGTGAAAATGTAAGAGTTATTGTTGATCGAAGATATTTGGCCATGTATGTCTCGAATAACGGCAATATGTCCATAGGACGCACTTTCACTTTATCTTTGTATTTGTTGGATGATGCCAATCAGTTGGACACTATTATTTATGTTTCATTTGTAAAATTTCACACAGTTTGTAGTAAAATAGTTTTTCATTTTGCTTGTCTTCCTCTTATTTTAGCAGTTCGTACTTTTTCAAAATTTCAACTGCTTCTGCACTTGATCCGAAGATGCTTAAATCAGTTTGATAGTTCTATGTTTTGATGTTCATAGTCCATGTTTCCAACTTGTTGTAATCCATGTCCTTAGCATAAGAAGGTGCCCTACCAATATCCCAAATAGGGTCCTTCGATTTTGGGTCATATATATATAGTCAACTTTCCTGAAATAAAACTCTTTTCAATTCACATTTTTCTGCTAAATTACACAAATATTTCACTCTCAAAACTTTAGAACTTCTTTCAACTCATATTATATGTTCAGTTTGGCGTCCATTTGAGAATTGTAGAGTTAGATGAGTCTAGAACTTTTCATGATGTGTGGGAGGCTTGTGCTTTTGGCTTTCTTTGATATATTCTTGTCCTATGTTGAAGTCTTCTCTGATCAATGATGTCTGTTAATGCAAAGGATGCTTACTGATGCATTTGGAAATGTGAGTCACTAACTAAGAGAATTTTTATTGTTTTATTATCCATAAAGGTGAGAAAAGGGCATTCTAAGATCTACCAGCAAGATATTGTCAATGTACTGGACAAGCAATTGCTCGAGGGTATGGGTGTGCTTCTAACTGAAGAGAAGTAGCAACAATGTGAACAAAGCGTATGGTTTTCTTTCATAGAACTTATCAAAGTTATAGATTACGTATAATTTCGCTTAACTATAGTTTTTCGTTTCTTTTTTTTTTCTTTTTATTAAATATCAACTATATCAGGTGTCTTTGGAAAAGAAAAGACTTCTGGCAGTACATGAAGCGGGTCACATAGTATTGGCACACTTGTTCCCTCGATTTGACTGGCATGCATTTTCACAGCTCTTACCTGGTGGCAAGGTACAATATGAGGTCAATGCCTATGTAGAAGTGTGTTTTGTAGGTTGCTATGTAGAATAACTTTTATCTGTTGCATGCTTGTGCAGGAAACTACAGTGTCTGTTTTTTTATCCTCGGGAAGATATGGTTGATCAAGGTTATACAACCTTTGGCTACATGCAAATGCAAATGGGGTTGCTCATGGGGGACACTGTGCTGAGTGTATTGTGTTTGGTGATGACATTACCGATGGAAGAAGAGATGACTTAGAAAAAATTACAAAGGTAACATAAATACCTTCTAGATTCAAATTCGAACATAGAGTTTATAGTCAATTTATTGTAATGAGGCCTCTTCAATGTTATAGCATTCTCGGAGTCAAATTCAAAAAGAGGAATTCAAAATAGTATTTTTGTTTATGATTGATGTCTAGTCACTTGTCTGAGTTTATCCTCAGATTGCTTGGGAAATGGCGATAAGCCCTATGAATCATAGGTTGGGGCTCACTGCTTTGACAAAGAGAATCGATCTGGTTGATCGACCAGATAATCCGGATGGTGAGATGATAAAATATAAGGTTACTTGCATATATTTCCTTTGAAGCTTTAATATAGCTTAGAAAGTAAATGTTTTGTTTTTAAATGATACTCTCAAATAATTTACTCTGATCCTCCAATTTCATTTGGTATTAGTGGGACGATCCTCACATCATTCCAGCTGATATGACACTTGAAGTTTCTGAGCTATTTACTCGAGAATTAATAAGGGTAATGAATTTTTCTTGATATGGTTCTAAGATTATGATCTCATTACAACTATCGCCACAAAAATCCTCACATTTGTTGGATACCATTCTATGTAATCAAATTGTACGAGGGTGTTCCACCATTACACAAGGGAGTTCACTTTCAATTTCATTTTAAATCTAATTACATTTGCTTTTCACTTTTGTGTTGCTTTTAGAAAAGAAAGTTTGGTTTCATACATCTCTCTAACTCGTTAAATCTTTATCACCCATGCATTAAGTGTTCGTATCATAGCTTTCTGTATTGGGGTTCTATATATGCCTTATCTTTGTCAAATTTCTTTCTGCAACTTTCAAATTATAAATATAAAGCCCCGTTTGAGCCACATTAATGTAAGAATGAGAATTAAAAATATAACTGTTACGAGCTCCACACAAAAGATAGAAAGTCAAATATAATGGCTTGATGTGATGGATAACGGTTATATTTTTCATTTTAAAGGGCAAATAATAGGAAACAAACATGGGCTAAATGTGTTACTACCATCCTTATCAAAATGAAGCAACACCCAATAGTGATGCAAGCCAATAACTTCTCCACCAGGTATATAAAACCAAGTTTATTTAAGAAAAGAAAACACGTACAGTGACTAAGTTTCATACATTAACAAGCACGGTATTACTGGAAGTGTAGAGCGACGTTATAGAATTTATGTTACTTTTACAAGAAAGTTTTGTGACATTGTGTCTACTTATAGCTTCTTTTTATCTGAACGAATTACATATCAATGACAGTACATTGAAGAGACAGAAGAACTTGCAATGAAGGGATTGATGGACAACAGACGTTTAGGGCTCATACCCAGCTCCTTGCAAGTATCAACAACCCATTTGTCTAGGCCAAGGTTTAAGAAAGTTACATGAGCAGGAGTTGGATTGGGGCATGATTCTTTTACAACTGATTTTGGGACAGCAAGTGCAGGGCCTGATTCTTTTATGACTGATTTTGGTGTAGCAGGAACATCTGTTTCACATGAAGGTACGAATTTTTTGGTAGAGGTAGCAGCTGGTTTTTTTCTAGAAAACAAGGGGAAATTTCTGCCGACTTGGACTAGTTCATCCATAATTGCCAACTTGAGGAAGCTGATGGCTAAAACCTAGTTAAAGACATTCATGGCTGATGGAGCTAATTTCGAGTCAAACAAAGCCCCCTAGACTTCACAATTGAACTTCTTTTTTCTGAACACACCAAGTAAACTTTATTTGATAGAAAAACAATGGGCAATCCAAAGATTATTTATGGAAAAAAAAGGAACTTGCACACTTACAATTTTGAGTAGATTCTAAGTTTGAATTTGGGACAAAATCTATGGGAGATCTTCTGCCAAACGTGCCTGCCAAATAGAACACTAATCAGAACAAAAAGAAATATATACAAATGGGCTACACCTATTCAGAGCTTAAACACATAAAACGAAGAAGGCAGACTGCTAATTGATGCCGGATATACTAGGAGAATTGTAGGAGAACGGGAGAAGCTAAAGAAGAAGAGAAATGAGAGGGAAAGGAGAGAAGAAGAGGGGAAGAGTAGAAATTAAGGAGAGAAATCAATTTATTTCATAATCAAAAGTTGTTTTATTCCATTGCAAAAGAACCCCTTATATAGGGTTTGAAATATTTTATCTTAAGAAGGAAAATATCTAATAAAAATAATTAAATTAAACCTAATTATATTTCCTAAAATACGACTTAAAATTGGAAGCTAAACATAATAACATTCCTTCTAATTGCATCATTTTCTCCTCGACTGAGAACTCGACTCCGGCGAGGTAGACTGAAACTTCATACTCCAAGAAGGATATCTTTTGTCTTGGCCAAATGCCTATATTGAACATTGGACAGCAACATCTTGTTAAACTCATACCAAGGAGGGCAATCTTTCTGATTAACCAAATATTTAAACTTATCACTTAAGGATAACTGATGTTGCAAATCATCTTGATGATTATGATCTAACCAAGGTGGACGATCTCTCCTTCTAACCAAATTGCGACAAGGAACTCCAAAAATCAAAAACTCATGTAATTCACCCACAAAGTCGACAATTGATTAATCATGATAAGTAGTACAAGGATCTAGCAAAGTCACTATTACTACGATAATGTACCCTCCCCATGCAATTATCCCCTGTCTAAGACCTTTGTTAGAAACACACATTCTCCTCCTATGCAAGTTGCACTTCAACTATTGGACGTTTATGGTCTCACAGGACCTAACTCATTTCTTGATTGGCTCGATAGGCTTGAAATGTTTTTTACCTATCACAATGTGAGTGACTCCCGTAAACTTTGTCATGCTAGTATATCATTAATTGGTCCTGCTAAAAATTGCGTAATCATCTAGGCCAACGCACTATCACTTTGTGGGATGGGATGAAACGAATTTTAAGCAATAACTATGCCCCTGCATACTATAAAACTCAATTGTTAAATCAATTCTTTTTGCACTATAGGCAAGGTACTTTTACTGTTTTATCTATCCTATTTTAAAGAGTTGTTGAACAAGTGTTATATTTATGAGGCTCCCCACATCACAGTGTCTAGATTTATCACTGGTTTGAATCCTGAAATCTTGCCAAATGATATTCATTCATTCCAATCTTTGGATGATGCTTACCAACATGCTAACCTATGGAACATATCCTTTCATCTTCGTTAAGCATGCCGTAAGCTAGGTCTATCGTCCCAGTCCAAACAATCACTTCTCGAGTCTAATATTCCTCTTGAGAAGGATAATGACGTTATTGTTGAACCAATTGAATATTCTGATAACGAGGGTGAAGAAGAGTATATAGTATTCCCACCTAAGTTAAACAATCAACCTATTCTCAATTACATGTTGAAGTTGATCTTGCCTAATCTGTTGCATGATCCTTGTACTACTTATCATGAACAATCAATTGTCGACTTTGTGGATGAATTGCATGAGTTTTTTATTTTTGGAGTTCCCTGTCGCAATTTGGTTAGAAGGAGAGATCGTCCTCCTTGATTAGATCATAATCGTCAAGATGATTTGCAACATCAGTTGTCCTTATGTGATGAGTTCAGATATTTGGTTAATCAGAAAGATCGTCCTCCTTGGTATGAGTTTAACAAGATGTTTCTGTCCAAGGTTTAATATAGGTATTTGGCCAAGACAAAAGATACCTTCCTTGGAGTATGAAGTTTAAGTCTACCTCGTTGGAGTCAAGTTCTCTCAGTCGGGGAGAAATGATGCAATATTAGAAGGAAAGTTATTACGTTTAGCTTCCAATTTTAAGTCATATTTTAGGAAATATAATTAGGTTTAATTTAATTGCTTTTATTTGATAATTTCCTTCTTAAGATAGAATATTTCAAACCCTATATAAGGGGTTCTTTTGTATTTTAATAAAACAACTTTTGATTATGAAATAAATTGATTTCTCTCACTAATTTCTCCTTTTCCCCTTTTCTTCTCTCCTTTCCCTCTCCTTTCTCTTCTTCTTTACCTTCTCCCATTCTCTTACAATTCTCCTAGTACATCTGGCGCCAATTAGCAGTGCGCATTCTTCGTTTTATGTGTTTAAGCTTTGAATACGTGTAACCCGTTTGTATATATTTCTTAGTGTTCTGTTTGGCAGGCACGTTTGGTAGAAGATCTCCCATAGATTTTGTCCCAGATTCAAACTTAGAATCTCCTCAAAATTGTAAGTGTGCAAGTTCCTTTTTTTTCCATAAATGATCTTTGGATTGCCCATTGGTTTTCTATCAAATAAAGTTTACTCGATGTGTTTAGAAAAAAGAAGTTCAATTGTGAAGTCTAGGGGGCTTTGTTTGACTCAAAATCAGCTCCATCATCCAGGAATGCCTTTAACTAGGTTTTAGCCATCAGCTTCCTCAAGTTGGCAATTATGGATGAACTAGTCCAAGTTGACAGAAATTTCCCCTTGTTTTCTAGAAAAAAACCAGCTGCTACCTCTACCAAAAAATTTGTACCTTTATGTGAAACAGATGCTCCCGCTGCACCAAAATCAGTCATAAAAGAATCACACCCTACACTTGCTGTCCCAAAATCGGTCGTAAAAGATTCAGACCCCAATCCAACTCCTGCTCATGTAACTTTCTTAAACCTTGGCCTAGACAAAGGGGTTGTTGATACTTGCAAGGAGCTGGGCATGAAGCAACCCACTTCGGTCCAACATCACTGCATTCCCAAAATACATTGAAGAGACAGAAGAACTTGCAATGAAGGGATTGATGGACAACAGAAGATATTAGATTTGATTGCGAAGGAACTTCTAGAAAACTCGAGGATAACCGAATCAGTAGGATAGTTGCTCAATTTCATTCTGTATGTTTGATACTGTTAATAAATAAAGCCACATTTTTTGACCAAATGGATAAGGTTGTTGATTTCTTAATGGTTAAGAAAAATACATACATGCATGCAAGTGCTAGTGGTGGCAAAATTGGAGTTTCCAACTAATGATAGCCACAAGTGGAGAAAATTCCATCCACCTTTCCTCTTCATTAGGCGGTGGAATTTAATGCAAGTGGTGTCTAAATTTCCTGTAAATATAGGATTGAAGTAGAGAGAAAAATATTGCACGTAGAGAGGAAAAAATTTGTAGAAAGCAAATTGAGTAGAGAGAAAATTAAGAGAGTATTTCCTACTTATTTTCTCCTAATTACAAGAGAGATTAATTGTTGTTATCTCCTTGTATTTAGAGAGTGTGTTGTAATTATTCTATTATAGTGAAATCCTCCTATACTTGCCCGTGAACGTAGCCTAAATTGGGTGAATCACGTAAATACTTGTGTCCATTTTTAGCTGTGTTTTCTCAATTCCATTATTTGTCAGTCAAACTCGACCCATGCGTTTTCTCCCCAACAGTGATACCAGAGCTAGGTTCTGTGTAGGGTCATTGTTCAGCATTAGTATTGGTAAACAAAATGGCGACAAAGTATGAGATTGAAAAGTTTAATGGGAACAATTTCTCATTATGGAAAATGAGAATAAAAGCAGTTTTGCAAAAAGATAACTGCTTGGCGGCAATTGGACAAAGGCATGTGGAGATCATTGACGATACTAAGTGGAATGAGATGGATAGCAACGCAGATGCTAAAATGCTGAAATATTACTTCAAAGTCTACCAGATTCGTATGATCAACTCATCATAAACTTGACCAACAACCTTGAAACTCCTGTCTTCGATGATGTTGCAGCTGTTCTTAAAGAGGAAAGTAGGAGCAAGAACAAAGAGGACAGATTGACAAGTTCACATCAAGCAGAAGCTTTAACGATGATGAGAGGGAGATCAACGGAACATGACTTCAGTGGGAGTCATAATCAGAGTAGATCAAAATCCAGGAGTAAGAAAAATGCTCAGTGTCATTACTGTGGTAAGAAAGGCACTTAAAGAGGAATTGTTGGAGTCTCGAGAAGAATGAAAAAGCTAAAGGAAAAGGTCCTGAGACATCAAAAGCTCAGGGTTGTGTAGCAAGTACCTCAGATGATGGTGAAATTTTATACAGCGAGGCAACAACAGTTGTTGAAGGTAGAAAGAAATTTTCTAATGTTCGGCTTATGGATTTAGGAGCTACATGACACCAAAAAGGGAATGGTTTCATCAATATGAGACTATCCCAAGAGGATCTGTGTTTATGAGAAATGATCATGCCTTGGAGATCGCTGGTATTGGTACCATCAAATTGAAAATGTATGATGGTACAATTTGCACTATCCATGAGGTACAATACATAAAAGGTTTGAAGAAAAATCTATTGTCTTTAGGACAATTAGATAGCATTGGCTGCGAAACCCATATACAAGATGGGATTATGAAAATAATCAAAGGCGCGCGTGTGGTGATGAAAGCACAAAAGATAGCTACAAATTTGTACATGCTTAAAGGAGAAACATTACAAGAAGGAGAAGCATCTGTCGCATCGACAGGTTCAGCAGAAGAATTAACGATGATGTGGCATCGCAAGCTTGGTCACATGTCAGAACGTGGTTTGAAAATTCTCTCAGAACAAAAGCTTCTTCCAAGGCTCAAAAATGTTTCATTACCCTTTTGTGAGCATTGTATTACTAGTAAGCAGCGCAGATTGAAGTTTAGCAGTTCCACTGCTAGAAGTAAAGCTATCTTAGAGTTGGTTCATTCTAATGTTTGGCAAGCATTGGTTATATCCCTAGGAGGTGCAAGATACTTTGTATCTTTTATTGATGATTACTCCAGGAGATGTCGGGTTTATCCAATCAAGAGGAAAGCAGATGTGTTCGCGGTTTTCAAAATATTCAAAGCGCGAGTGGAGCTTGAATCTGAAAAAAGGATCAAGTGTTTGAGGACTGACAATGGAGGAAAATATACTGGTGATGAATTTGATAACTTTTTGTCAACAAGAAGGTATCAAGAGACAGTTCATGACGGCATACAGTCCACAGCAAAATGGAGTGGCAGAGCGGATGAGCAAAACATTGTTAGAAAGAACTAGAGCAATGTTGAGAACTGCGAGGTTAGCCAAGTCATTCTAGGCAGAAGAAGTCAAAACCGCTTGTTATGTGATCAATTGGTCGCCATCAACTGCAATTGATTTGAAGACGCCTACGGAAATGTGGACTATTAAACTGACTGATTATTCTCGCTTACATACATTTGGAAGTCCTGTGTACGTTATGTACAATACCCAAGAAACATCAAAACTTGATCCAAAATCCAGAAAATGTATTTTCTTAGGATATGCTGATGGAGTCAAGGGGTACCGCGTATGGGATCCCATTGCCCACAAGGTGATAATCAGCAGAGATGTCATATTTGCAGAAGGTAAAATACAAGAAAAAGTAAATGATAGCACTTCAAAAGAAAAATCAGAAACTATTACAGTTGAAGTTGGAGGCGAACGAGAAGATATAGATTCTTCTGAAGTAACACTAGAGCATGAAGAACAAGCTGAGTCTAGTGCTCCAGATGTTCGACGATCAACACGAGAGAAAAGAACCAGCTTGGCACTCAGATTACATTATGGAGAGCAATGTTGCATACTGCTTACTGACAAAAGATGGAGAGCCATCAACTTTCCATAAGACTATAAATAGTCAAGAAGTATCTCAGTGGATGGCAGCAATGCAAGAAGAAATTGAAGCTTTTCATAAGAATAAGACATGGGATATTGTTCCACTACCACAAGGAAGGAAGGCCATTGGCAATAAATGGGTATATAAGATCAAAAGAGATAGCAATGACCAAGTGGAGCGGTATCGTACGAGACTGGTGATGAAGGGATATGCTCTGAAAGAAATCATCGACTTCAACGAAATATTTCTCCCGTGGTTCGACTCACAATAGTTCGAGTAGTCATGACGATGTGTGCTACATTTGACTTACACTTAGAGCAGTTAGATGTGAAAACTGCATTTCTTCATAGAGAACTTGAAGAAGAGATTTATATGCTCCAACCAGAAGATTTTGAAGAAAAAGGAAAAGAAAACTTGGTTTGCAGGTTGAACAAATCTCTATATAGTCTCAAACAGGCACCGAGATGTTGGTATAAGAAATTTGATTCCTTCATCATGAGCCTTGGATACAACAGACTCAGTTCAGATCCATGTGTATACTACATGAGATTTGGTGATAATGATTTCATTATTTTACTGTTGTATGTTGACGACATCTTAGTAGCAGGCCCAACAAAGATCGTATTGAAAATTTGAAGGCACAGTTGGCTAAGGAGTTTGAAATGAAGGACTTGGGATCGGCAAATAAGATTCTAGGGATGCAAATTTAGCTAGGAAGATTTGGCTTAGTCAGAAGAATTATTTGAAGAAAATATTACGTCGCTTTAATATGCAAAATTGTAAGCCAATTTCTACCCCTCTTCCTATTAATTTCAAGTTATCCTCAAGTATGAGCCCTAGCTACGAAGCAGAGAGAATGGAAATGTCTCAAGTACCGTATGCATCAGTAGTGGGTAGTTTGATGTTTGTTATGATATGTACAAGACCAGACATTGCACAAGCAGTGGGAACGATTAGTCGATACATGGCAAATCTTGGTAAAGAGCGTTGTAGTACTGTGAAGAGGATCCTGAGATATGTCAAGGGTACCTCAAATGCTACATTATGTTATGGAGGATCAGATTTTATTGTCAGAGGTTATGTTGATTCAAATTATGCAGGTGATCTTGATAAAAGTAAGTCCACCATAGGATATGTGTCTACTCTTGCTAGAGCAACTGTAAGCTGGGTTTCAAAACTGCAGTCTAACATGGCCACTTCTACGACGGAGGTAGAAAATGTGGCAGCTACACAAGCTAGCAAAGAGACAATCTGGTTGCAAATGTTAATGGACGAGCTCGGACACAAATTAGAGAAGATTGCTCTATTTTGTGATAGTCAGAGCGCTTTACACTTGGCAAATAATCTAGCATTTCATCAGAGGACAAAGCATATTCGAGTCCAATATCACTTTGTTCGAGAAAAGGAGGAGGAAGGAAGTGTGGATATTCAGAAAATCCATACAGTAGACAACCTAGCTGATATGTTGACAAAGCCAATCAGAACTGACAAGTTTATATGATCTCGATCCTCCATTGGCCTAGCAGAAACGTAAGCAGCATGGAAATGGCAAGTATGGGAAGGATTGAAGTAGTCAACAAAAGTGACTTTAAGTGGGAGAAATGTTAATAAATAAAGCCACATTTTTTACCAAATGGATAAGGTTGTTGATTTCTTAATGGTAAAGAAAAATACATACATGCATGCAATTGGTGGTGGTGGCAAAATTGGAGTTTCCAACTAATGATAGCCACAAGTGGAGAAAATTACAGCCACCTTTCCTCTTCATTAGGCGGTGGAATTTAATGCAAGTGGTGGCTAAATTTCCTATAAATATAGGATTGAAGTAGAGAGAAAAGTAGTGCATGTAGAGAGGAAAAAATTTGTAGAAAGCAAATTGAGTAGAGAGAAAATTAAGAGAGTATTTCCTACTTATTTTCTTCTAATTACAAGAGAGATTAATTGTTGTTATCTCCTTGTATTTAGAGAGTGTGTTATAATTCTCCTACTATAGTGAAATCCTCCTATACTTGTCCATGGACGTAGCCTAAATTGGATGAACCACGTAAATACTTGTGTCCATTTTTAGCTTTGTTAGCCAAACTCGACCCACGCGTTTTCTCCCCAACACATACTAGAGAAGCAACTAAATGGAGAATGAACAAAACAAACTTTCACTAAACTGTTATTCCTTATTCTCCCCTCCCTTCACTTGAACCTTAAATGCATCATATCCCGGTTACTGATGAGAAGAAGTCCTCGGAAGCTGAATTGAATCCACGATTCTGAATCTCTAGAATTTGGTCCTTGGAAACACCATTATTTAGTACCTTTAGGATCTCACCCATCATTGCATTGGTATTCCATGGTTTCAGCTCCAGAAAATGAGTGAAACATTTAAAAAAAGTTTCGGGATGACTTTTACCCAAGTTCTGCCTATCGTGTGTTACTCTGTCCATTCTAGTAACTTCGTTGGTCATAAATTTCATGTTTCTTTGCTTGGCATTTAGTAATATTTTGTTTGACAGTTCATTTCAGTTAGTTTGCTTTCATCTTTCTGGTAACGCTTTGAAGTGTGCAATATTTGCAAAAAAACTCGTATATGCAATTGCTTTCATGCTTAGCTGTTTCTTTCCCAGGAAGTCCAAGAAAAAATGGAAGGATTATCGCCAATTATGTTTGAAGATTTTGCGAAGCCTTACCAAATTAACTTAGAAGAGGTAGTATTCATTTTTTGGCACGTCATAGACTTTATCAGTCCTTTATATCCTGCAATGCAAGAAGCCATTTTTCGCTCAACCTCTGATTCAGAATTTTGTGTTAGTACAGCTATTTGTAGCCTTCAAATTTTTTAGCATGGCATTTGTTTTTTCTTATCCAGGAAGGACCATTGCCTCACAATGAACGGCTGCGTTATAAACCTTTGGACATCTATCTTGCACCACTCCACAGATGCTAAATTCTCCAGTGACTACGGTTCTTCATCCTGCCTGTTGAAGCGAAAGTCAATTTGGTTGCCAGTTCTAGAAGCTGTTATCGTTAGCTGATTGCTAACAGATTCCTTGTGTAGACACGGCTCTCAAATACTGGAGGATTGGGATGGCAGAGTTCAACGTCTGCATAGAAGATTTTTATCAAATAAGTGTTGTCTTCCTCTACATCTCTCTTTTACACTGATTATTCCTTTTCATGTCGGCAAACGATTTTGCCCTGTTTGGTTTATATAAACATCAGATTTTTAGAAAATTTTGATAAAAGATAATGTGTAGTGAAAAGCTGTAGATTTGATAAAATGTGATTAAAATTAATTGCTAACTTTGATTTGAATTTTAACTTTCTTTTTTAAGTAATGCTATTTAGCATTATAGTGGACGATAGATTAAATAAAAGATGGAATTAAATAAGTTATTTAATCCACTTATCAATTAATGCTACATTAACATCACATAGAACAAGGTTAAAAATGTCAATGGAGCTAAATATCATTACTCTTCTTTTTTAGTTGAACCATACGAGGGCAAAGTATCTTAGCACAATTCATATATTCGAAAGAAATTCAATAGTGACTAAAATCAATAAAACTTCATCCATGTAAAAGAAATCGAGAAAATGACTGCACGAGAACCATTGAGTCGGCCAACTGTGCAGTGCAGTACCAGAACCATTATGGGGAAAAATGAGTATCTCAACATATTCAAAAACAATATAATCCAGTCGCATGCTTGTACATATTAACTTTTCAGCGTAAAGAAGTAGAATCAAAATTTCCTAGCAAAATAATCAAATAAACAAAACTAGAGCATGGTATTGCTTCTCTTCTAGTTGACAAGAATGGTGGATATAAGCCACATAACTTAGTTTTTTCCTTCTTTAACTTCTCTTTTACGTTTTTTGCCTTTTTTCTTCAATAAGCCTTTTTCTGCTAATGTCTTCAATTTCTGAGCTTTTCGTGCTTGGGCTTTCTCATCAAAGCCCTCATCCATCATTTTCATTGTCGCTATGCGCCTGGCTTTGAAAACCTGAAAATCACGTTACTAAGTAAGGAAGCCTCATCTAAACGGAAAATGAAATCCAAGCCATACATTTACTTGACAATTGTTCATTGAAAGTTCAATTTGCTCCGGATATAAAATACACGATCTAGTAACAAGTTGCGTGGACCATACTAACTAATGAAGGAACAATTATTTTAGAAAATTCGCTCTTACCCGTGTAATATTATTATCAAGCACTTCTTTTTCTTTACACTCAAACTCGTCCAATTGCTTTCCAAGAACAGCTTCTATTTCATGTATAAGATCCACCTCGTTCTGCAAAATATATCTTAAAAATTGAGTTATGCAAGTTAACAGAAACAAGAAACCCTTGAAGACATAGAATTAATCGCTGGTCATTATGATGAGTGAAACGAAGGGGTTAAATTATCCGATATCTTTCTAGTGGAAGTTCAACTTTGGATTTAAATAAGAAGAGTGCTATTTATCAACCCTGGCGTTTAGCACCCGTCTATGTGGCAATTACATGGCATATAATAGATTCATTTAAATGAAAGTCATATGACTTGTTTAATTGAATCTATAAAATGTACCACCTAGACTGGTGCTCTAGTACCACTTGTACTAGATAACATTATTCATGATTTAACTTAATGAGTTTGTTTGATTTCAACAAAAATGTAAAACATATCAAGAATTGAACAGATAAAATCTTTGGAAAGTGAACGACTATGTGAATATCTAACAGGAAAGTCTCCATTGCATGTTCGACGCAGAAAGAACAAAAGTGAAGAAATACAGTGAAGTAGTGTTTTCCTAAAAGGTCAGTAGGGCAAGGAACTTTTGTACGTATCGGAGCCTAATAATTGGAGCTTCAAAATTGAACAAAGCAAATTTGAATATATACCTGGGTGACAAAGCTAACAGCCAGGCCTCCTCTTCCAGCTCTTGCAGTACGCCCAACACGGTGAACATAATCCCGAGCATACCTATAATGAGTAGACAGTGGATATTGGAAGAGCATGCCAGATGTATTAATAATAATTAAACAAATGGTTAGAGTAATTACTTAGGTATATCATAGTTTATGACCAGATCGACTGTTGGGATATCTAAACCACGACTGGCAACATCCGTGGCTAGCAATACAGGGACTTGACCAGATTTGAATTTATGCAACGCAGAGAGCCTCAGAGACTGGGATTTGAAAGAATGCAATGCTGCAACTTCCACTTCGAGTTCTTCCAGCAACAAAGACAAGAGCTCGCAACTCCTGCTCAATCCCGATAAACAAAAAGAAAATATCCAATGAATAAGACAAATGCAGAGGTTCACACAATAACTAAATCAATTCCCACATAAACAAGGAACCCTACCATGTTAAATTCTCAGAAGTGATTTATCAGCAGTTATTCTTAACTTTTTGATATTAAACTTACAACATCGTTGATGCAAGATGTGCCCTAACTGATGCACCATGTTACACTCTTGAGCTCTCTTATTTTGAAAAATTAGTGCTGACATGGAAAATGGGCAATTTCACTACTGCTATAGAAACTAAGCTGGAGACTTATTGTGCTGATACTCAAATTTACTCTACTTCAATCATGGCCATTTTATGAGATTTGAGTCAACTATTTGACAGTCGTGCCATAGCGATTCAACCAACAGATTCTAGCTTTGCCCAAAAATTATGATGTTTTTAAATACAAAGTGTAGTGTTTGAAGCATGTTTTTACATCAATATCTCACACACGTAAGATAACTGTCCATGCATCCATAAACAAGCATGAAGAGATTGGTGAATTCCTTGCAGACATTTAGTATCATGATAATAACATATACCATGTTTACAACAATTACAGGCTTACAGCTAATCTAATGTCCTTGTCAACTCAAACTGAATGATGAAAAGAGAGATTACTGAGACAACCTTGATATTATAACAAAACAATACCTGCAGGTGGAAACAAAAATTATAGCAGATCGAATCTCCATTTCTTCCATTTTGGTCAGAATGTGCAAAAGATATACATCCTTCACATTTTTGGGGATAAAAAGATACTGCTGTTTCAGAGACTCTACTGTCTTGAAACCTTCATATGCCTCGTAGAAATATGCCTTATTTGCAGAAAGCTCGAGCAATGTTTGTAAATTACTTGTCATGGTAGCAGAAAATAGTAATGTTTGTCGATTCTTGGGAAAGCACTGGAAGATAACTCTCAAGTCTGTTTCAAAGCCAACATCAAGAACTCTGTCTGCTTCATCCAAAACTAGAAACTGCAACAGATATATTGTATTATGCTTGAAACTTGTGGTACAGAGTTCATTCATGGTGAATTCATTAAAGAGTCTAGTAGCTATATCAATTAAAGAGGAAACTCCCAATACACACCATACTCGTTAAATTCAAAAAGCAACTTAAGACTTTAGAGTATCACTAAAACAGACATTTAATGTTTTGCCTTTAAATTCTAATAAATCCAATATAGAACTAGCTTCCCACAAATGTATCTTCAGGTAAAAAATGATACCTTCTTCCTCGTAAGGCTATTCACTTACCATTGTTATGAACATCATTTTCCTTCTTCAGAGATTAATGCATTCAAAAAGATTTAGTTGTGAATAAGTAAAATATCACAACTATCATAATTCATTCTCAAAATTAAAATTCAATATCAGACTATTATAGGAATCAATTACCACTTAGCAATTATCAAAAACACAAGTAGGAATAAAACAGAATAGAAAACAGAAAAAACCAATCACCTTGGTTTTCGTGAAAACAGAAGAAATATCAGGATTCTCTTCAATAAGAACCTTAATCCTGCCAGGAGTGGCAATCACCACATGAGGCCTCTGCATTAGAGTCTGTGCCTGGTTTATCATGTCCATGCCACCCACGATCACAGTGCATCGCAGGTTCACACCTGCCCCGAAAGCCCGAAATTGCTCGGCCAACTGGTATGCGAGCTCTCGTGTAGGAGTCAACACCAGAGCAAAGACCCCATATGGATCCTTAGACAAGCGTTGAAGAATGGGTAGAGCAAAAGCTGCCGTTTTGCCACTTCCTGTCTGGGCCAGGCCAAGGACATCCTGCCCAGCTAGTATTTTAGGAATGCAGTGACGTTGGACCGGAGTGGGTTGCTTCATGCCCAGCTCCTTGCAAGTATCAACGACCCATTTGTCCAGGCCAAGGTTTAAGAAAGTTACATGAGCAGGAGTTGGATTGGAGTCTGATTCTTTTACGACTGATTTTGGGGCAGCAGGTGCAGGGTCTGATTCTTTTATGACTGATTTTGGTGCAGCAGGAACATCCGTTTCACCGGAAGGTAGGGAATTTTTGGTTGAGGTAGCAGTTGGTTTTTTCCTAGAAAACAAGGGGAAATTTCTGTCGACTTGTATTACTTCATCCATAATTGCTAACTTGAGGAAGCTGATGGCTAAAGCCTAGTTAAAGGCATTCCTGGTTGATGGAGCTAATTTCGAGTCAAACAAAGCACCCTAGACTTCACAATTGAACTTCCTTTTTCTGAACACATCAAGTAAACTTTATTTGATAGAAACCCAATCAGGAAATCCAAAGATCATTTATGACCCAAAAAAAAAAAACTTGCGCACTTACAGTTTTGATTCTAAGTTTCAAATCTGGGACAAAATCTATGGTAGATCTTCTGCCAAACATGCCTGCCAAACAAAACACTAATCAGGACAAAAAGAAATATATGCAAATGGGAGATACATGTATTCAGAGATTTAACATCTAAAACGAAGCAAGGTGAGCTGCTCATCATCAGTAAAACTTTAAGCAAAAACGCCCTAAAAATAAGTGATAGCAGCATTCAATGATTTCATAAAATATTTCCATGAGCTATTAAAGTCATTAGCATACAAAAATGAATAATGCTTGTTGTACCGAAAGTGGTTCACAGGTCGTTTACAGAAATTTTGAAAAATGCTCACGTGGAAAGGCAAAATTTGAGAATTGCTTTTAGAAAGGAATATGCTATTAAAAAAATGGTAAAAAAGGAACGGACAAATAGCAGGCAGCAAAAGCGGGAAAACCCTTCTCATTTCCACCAAATTTAGCATTCGGTTCCTTCTTCATTTCCCCCAATTTTCCCATTCCATTCCCTTGTTCTATTCGAGATTTTCATTTTTCAATCTAAAAGATGAGCTCATGAGATTTCATTCCAGCCTTTAGAGAGAATCTCACTCCCAAATAGAACTTCAATTCTGGAACGCTCTCAATAGCTTTTAACAATTTTGCATCTGCAGCTTCTTGGTCATCTTTCTTCTCTACTGGAAGCACATTTTCTCCTCTTTTTTGCCTCAAAAAATTCAGTCTCGCCCTTAGCCAAGTACTCGTCATCGAGCTTCTCCACATTCACCCTAGAGATGTCAACCTTCGTGGAAGTGGCAACAACGTAGGCTTGGTTGACACGTTGTAGAGGAATACCATTGATCTTGAATGGTCTAGTAACAAGCAACAATCCAGTAGCAAGCTGCTTCAAGAGAACAACACGCATCCCCTTAAATCTTCCAGTCAATATAATTAAAACTGTCCCTGGAGCAATACTTGCCCTAAGTTTTGTGGGTTTGTGCATGCGCTTGTTGGAAAGCGGCTTCTTAACATCATCAGCTGGGTAGAATTTGGGTGCCTTCTCGGCAGCTGGCTCTGCTACTATGGATTTCTTCTTGTGGGTTGGGAATTTGCCTCCATTTTTGGCCTCGATAGCCCAGAGTCAGTTATTGGAGGTGGAGGCGTCCATGTTTAAGCTATAATAAAACATTAATGGCACGAATCCCATTTCATCAACAGAGAAATTTACATCTGTCTATTCAACGCTCCACTTCCACCACGTCAATTCTCACACAATCATCTTCACGGATGAAAAACGTACTTGAACAGGGAAACTTAACTTGAATAAAAAATAAAAATCAAAGTTTATATCATTTTAATCTAGATATTTCAATTAACAATCTATGACCAACCCATTAAACATAAAATCAGAAAACATACGTTGTCAACGAAAATTAAAAATAACAAAAAAAAAAAAAACGAAAAGAAAACAAGTGCTTACAGAAATATATTGATTGGGTCCTGGGAGGCGAGAGACGAGAGTGAGAGGCGCCGGTGGTAGGTGGTGGAAGACGGCGAGAGATAAGAGTGAGGGCTCAGGCACCTGGTAGAGTCGTCGAGAGATGAGAGGAGAGGAGAGTGAAATCTGTCGTTTGGATGGATAGTAAATATTGGATTTCTCTCTGCAATCGGTTGGTTTTGGGAGGGTTTTGGAAGATTTAGGGCGTAATTAGTTTTAGTTTGTTTAAGTGTATTAATCTAATTTGTTAGCTGGGAGCCTAATTTCCTCTGAAAAAAAAAAAAAAAAAAAAAAATTTGGGCCATGGGGTTAGGCCCAAAAGTTCAGTGCTGGCACTCCATTGGGCTCCGCCCCTATTGCTAGTCATTTTCAATTAGAATGAGGAAGCCACAAGTTTTCCTAAACATTCGCATTGTAATTAAATTGCCATTTCAATTTTTTCAAATTGCAGTTACACAATATATTCGATTTGAACAAAAATAAACCTGGGTGTCAATTTTGGAGTCTGGACCTTCAAAATTGTAGTTCTACAGCATTATTTGATTTTTATAATCAATCACGTTTGTTCTTCAATATTTAATTGCACAAACAATAATTAACCATTTAATTCCATCAATTATTTTCTCCAAACTTTTATCCGCAAGTGTTCAATACAACGATTCCATTATCTACAATTTTGCGTGGTGTGAGTTCAATGAATTCATGGTTGCCAACAAAATTTCAGCCCATGATCAAAGATTAGACGTCGGTAACTTACTTGAGATGTATAAATGGAAAGATGTACCTTCTTCAGTTGGGCGTAGTGGTGGCGTTGTGGCGGTGGAAGATCGAATCAACTTTCGAACTTCGTTGCCGGCTGGCGATGGAGATGACTTGATGGCGTTGTCCCGCTGTCGTCAATGGAGGAAGGTGGAAATGGGAACGAAAGAGGCTGCCCTCGTTCGATTTCATTTTTTTTTTTTACCTTTTTCTTTTTTCTTTTTTCTTTTTTCATTTGGGCCCCTGTCAAAATTTCTGTAAGACCCGTGGGAACCTCAGTTCTACCGCCATGGGTTATAGTTTGGATATTCATTGCATTTTTAATTGGGCTTTATTTCCCAAATCAAATAAGTAATAAATAAATAGACCGGTTAAATTAACGTTTGCTTTTGATAAATTAAGTGACTTATTAGTTTTTAAAATCAGATGTTTAGGAATTTAATTAATACAAAAATTTTAGAATTTTCTTTTCCATATGTTTCTTATATTTCTGATATTGTTCTCCAAATTAGGTAATTTAAAGGATTTTTTTTACTGTGATAAAAAAAAAAAGGTGAATAATAAAACTTTCTTAGATCGTATGTTTAGGAATTTAATTAATTAAAATTTTTCAGAATTTCATGTATAATTTTCTTTTTCTTTTACATTCTTTATATTGTTCTTATAATTATGGTAATTAAAATTATGCTCTTTTTATTGTGATATGGAGAGATTGAATCGTTCACATAATTAGTACTAAGAAAAAAATCGTTATCTTTTTATTTACATGATTAGAGTGCCAAAAAAATCGTCTCAACGTCCAACTTTGCAATATAGAAGGAATACGACTCCTATAAGCCATGATAATATGTTAACTAAAATTTTGTCAATGACACAACGGTCATATTTGGCTACCATTTACGTCTACATGTACGACTATCATATGAGATTATCATAATTCTACGAAATTGCAGTAGTCAGAGTTGCAATTTTTTGTCCTATCTCACGTGAATCATACAAATTTGTTGCAGTTACACAATATAGAATTAATTAGATACTTTTATGTGTTTCCTTGTGCGATTCCCATCCTCTTAAGGGACAGCTCCTGATGATTAGACGCAATACCCAAAAGTTATTCATATTGCCCAAATTAGCAGCTAACGTATTGATTGATTTCGTGGATAGGGACAATTTAGAATCCTCCCATAATTAAAAGAAACCGAAAAACATACACATCTTCGTTTATGATCAATATGTTAAAATTAAAATTTTCAATGAATAAAAGTGAGAGAAGAGAATGTTTGATGTACATGCATTGATGCCATCAATTCCAAATTGGTAAAACTTCCCTTTTAATTAGGAAACTCGAAGAAGTTATCTTCTTGGTACATTTCAAGACATAAATGTAAGCAAATCACAAACTTGGTTGCGTAGTTGTAAGACGCACATGGGGTCTCAACAGTTAATGTAAGTGTGAAAGCACTTTAATGAGCGAAATTTGACACTTTAAAAGAGCCCATCTTTTTTCATGCAAATACTGAATTGAGAGTGCTATATTTTTAGTTTATTGGCAAAAGCTTTAGAGGAATTTGAGAATTTTCAATTTCTTGAAAATAATGAGAAAAAAGGGTCATTTTAAAAGGCTCATGCACCTCCATGGCTGATAGATCAAAAAAATTAAAAAAATATAAGTTCCACCCACAAATTGAAGAACATAACAAAGTTGAGTATGTTAGTGAAGTGTTGACTGTGTTGTGCAAAAATCCAATGGTAAAAATTGAATATGTTAGAAAATATAAGTTCCATTCATTGCATAACTCCTTTTTCCTTTTTGCATCATCCTTGTTTTGGCGTCTAAGAACATCTCCAAGAGACCATCTATCTATAAAAGCATCTTATGTATAATAAAGAACATCTTTAAATTTAGAGAGTAAATTTTTTATATACTTCAATATTACTTTCTATCTTAACTTATTATTTTGTTTTTCCAATGAACATTTATTGATTTCTCTCCATCTCTTATTTAACATAATACTTTTATATGTTACTCGCCAATAAATTCAAATTTGATTTGAATAATTTAAACTGTGGATTATTGAAGCTTGTAAATTATTAAATGCAATCCTTGTTAATTAAGAATAAAGAGTGAATTCTCTTTTTATTTTAAAAAGTTAAAATAGAAAGTCTACTGAAACTTCTTTTTTAAGATCGGCTCTCTGAAATAGAAAGTGTTTTGCACTTAGAGAAATGTTCTAGCTAGTTGGGCGAAAAAGGGAGGGAAAAAACTTGAACATTAATTTTAAACTATTTTCTTTACACATTCTAATTTCTAAAGATGACATATTTTAATACTGTGATTATGATTTCTTGGCAGTTTTTGCAATCGATATTTCCATACAAACTATATTTCACAACAAACAAGCTGCATTCATTCTTTATTCAAATTATAAATAAAATATCTGAACAATTGCTTCTAACAGAATGGACCATAAAATAGTCAAACGACAAGAAATACGAATGTATAGTTCCAAATGAACTAGAGTATTTTACAAGCGATTGCTTCTTGTCCTATTTTCTTTTCGAATTTCAACCTTTAATGATCGACTTGTAGGCAAAGACCAGCATTTGCTACATACCTGAGCAACCCATTAATGCTTGAAGCTCCAATCACTTGATTTTCCCTTGTGAATTATGCCATTTTCGTTCAAGTAGTCAACAAATTCGTCAATAAGATATGGCCAAGCACCTTCAGGATCATAGTTTGATAAAGTAGGATCAATGGTCTGCATTTACACAAAAGAACGTATCTGTCATGAACAGCGATTAGATAATCCTGGCAGATCTTGGTAACCAAAAATAAAATCATGTGGAGTTGAGATCCAATATCAAATTCGTCTTCTTAATGCACCCTCATGGGTGATCAAACAAAATTCAGGAGTCGTGCAAAAAGAACAGAGACGATGTAAAATTTTGGGTGGTGGGAATAAAACGCCAGAGAGAGCATGTTCCAGTCCCAAACAAATATTGTATTCATTCATTTCAGGCATCTTAATTTACCCTTGCAAACTCCAGTAGCTGGGACCAGGTGTCCCGAGATATTGCTTTGTTATGGTGCTCCTGAATCCAAAAATCCAAGGAGGAGAAAAATGTCAAAAGTGAGCCATAAGATTACAAATGAACACAAAAAACAAAAAGTAATATTCCCATGATTCTTCATAAATAATTCATGCTTTGGGCATGCTCAAGCATATGAAATTACATCAAACCACATTAGAGAGAGATTCAATACCACGCTCTTACCAGAGGAAAATAGTTAAAGAGTGTTAAAAGATAATGTTGAGAAACAAGGCAGCAATTAACCACACTGATTTTAGTTTATTTATCTTTTTGTGGGTGAGGAAGCAAATTAACTACATTAACTGCTAATTCCCTTAGTCAGTATTTTTTTTTAGGAAAACCTTGAATGATACAAAGTCCACTCAGAATCCTCTCTATGTACACTTCTTCCATTTATTATCCATTTTCCTACCAAAAACCAAACAACTGCGCTTTTACAAAACAGTAAGACGACCGGCAATGGAGTATTTGTTTGGATACCAATATCTGAAATCGCAAATTTTGAGCTAATAAGACTAAATTACATCAGTTGAATTAACGCTCCATTACTTCTTACAGTTCAATTTATTCAACAGGACAATGGCAGATTGAATGGTACAAATGATGAGAGGTGGAATTTTTGCATGGTAGAATGGAGACAGACAAGGTATGAAATAATTGTTTTTTAAGACATTAATATTTTTTTATACATGTACAGAAAATGAAAGATAGGATTTGAGGGAAAGGATCCAAATGCAGTTTGTTATACCTGTAAGAACTGGCACCAATAATCAACTAATGGCCACTGCTTTTCTGCAAATAGCAACTGCCACATCCCAATTGCTGTATCCAATGCTAAAGACTTCTGACCCTGAAATCAGGATAAAAAATCGGCAACCTGAATGCATACTAATTATCAACTGGTAGAATGCAAGTTAAAAGCAATCTGACTCACCCACAAGACGATATTTTAGAAGCCTGGTAGAGGGTAAAAAGACAGAAAGCAAAGGCTTAGAGTATTTAACTGCACATTGCTTCTCCTTTGTGGGGAATAGAGATTTTACTTAATATTTGACTGCTTAGAGAACATATAGTGCCTATGGTTTTCTATTTCGTGCCAACAATATTTAGTTACAGTGGGATGTTAATATATGAGATGGTATCAACTGAAGATTGGATAAAAATATTTTTCAAAAATTCAAAATTTAGTTATTAATATTCAAGTAAAAAAACCTGCTCAGATGTAAAAGAAATCTCACAAATTTCAAGGTATTTGATGCAAAAATTTGAATTCAGAAATAGATTCTATTTCTTTTTTTATAATGATACAATTTACTCTAGTTTGTTGAGCTCCCAAGTTATCAAAAAGTACATTACTGAAAAATTATTACTTGAAAGGCAGCATTTTAAGAGAAGGTGACTTCATACTATCATGAAGCCACAAATTCTGTTTTGTTGCTTTCCAGGCATATCAGATTCAAAGGATTTGATGCATTCCACAGCTTCCCGACCCATCCCAATTTTTTTTTTAATAAAAAATAGCAAAATAATTTCAGAGAGAACATTTATGGTTTAATCCAAGTTGATGATTTCAACTAAAGGGGGCAAAATTCAAATAATCAAACCAACACATTACCTTCTCTTTTGCCCAGCCAAAAGCAAAGTTATATATCTCTCGGAACTTTTCTGGACAGAATAAATCAAGTAGATAGCTTAATAATAGGAAAAAAAAATTAAAAGTCTGCAATGTATTTTAGGGACAGTTAATGCCAACTAGATCAACTAATAATTGCCACAAAGTTTGAAATATGAAAAAGATCTCTACTTAAATAACCCACTTTCGCCATAATTTTGTCTTCAAATGATAACAATGAGGAAGCACAAGGAGATGGCAGTAATCATTAAGCATACTACATCATCAGTGCAAAAGTACTGTGTGCAAATCCAAAGATTAAATGTAGTGATGCAATCAAGAAAGAGAATAGCTTCTTTGATTAAGAACTGAGAATTCCATGTCATCACATACGACTGTCTTTAAGCTCGGAACGCATAAATGGTATTCTTTCCCTGAACTTCTCCAGTGAATCTATCCTGCAATTAAAGATATAAACGCCAATGAAATCATTGACAAAAGCTCCAACTCGGGCTTACCAACAAAACAAACATGATAGACTTCACTAATATTTACCCAAGAGACTGTAATCCACCAATGAATTCCTGCTTCGAAAATTCACACATAGTAGCAGCCTTCATATGCCATGAGACCACCAACTGCATGTTAAACAAATCAAATGTCAACTAAGATCACATAAAAACAATTAACATGTTCATAAATGTTAAAAATTTACATCAACATAAAAGTCATTCTTCAAGCTATACCAGCTCCAAAAATTAATATTTCCTTTAAAATTAAAAGCAGTAAATATGACCATCATGACATCCGCACTACAATGAATCTCCAGAAGTAGATGCAATCAAAAGCAAAGCTCGAAACTGCTAGCAAAACTATTTAATAGAGCATTCCATCATTTCATTGAATGTAATTCCAAGTCATGTTTATTAATTTCCAGTTCTTTTTCGCTGGTGGTCATTGGTATTTAATTTCTAGTACCCTATCATATGAACACGGCTTGAAGGGTTTTTGCCTCATGAATTGATCCAGCATATTCAGTAGCATATTTCAATGGAATGACATAGTTATATTTACAAATTATATATTTACATTGTATTTAGGACACTTTGTTGGTCGAAATTGGGTTTTACATCTGGTGGTAGAAAAAGGAAAAAAATATGAAACAATTTATCATATGATAAGTGGAAAATTAAAAAAAATATATAAAACAAATCTAACCAGAATGTTAATCCTTGATAACATAATTCCATTCAATCCTACATAATCAAGACATTTAGGCAATACTACTAATTTAGAGTACAGAATACAAATGCCATACCATGACTATATCCTGAGGGTCCACCTGCCAAGAAAATGAAGGTATTATGTTATTCAAACAATAGTAATCAGTTAGAGATATGCGCCCCCCCCCCCCCCCCCCCCCCTCTTTTCATATCATATGTTGAACGCCTAACGTTTAAAAATTATTCTAAACTTCCAAGTTAATATTCTTAAATGAAAATCGTTTGTCACCTGTATTTGGGGTAAAAAAAAATTTATCTTGAATTGCCTCTTTTTTTCCATCTTCAAAGAGGACAAAAGGATTTCACCTCCCCCAACCCAAAAATAATGATAATAAAAAAAAAAAATGAGGTTCAAATTCAAGCTAGGCTTTGGCCTTCGGTTGGAGACTTATTTAAAAGACTACAAGCATTACTCGAATAACTTTGTTGGTGTCTCATGGATAAACTATGATACATGATACCCAATGAGAAACAAAATTATTTGATTATGCATGCGACAATACTTATCAAATCTACCTGAAGATCATTGCACAGGTAACTGATTCCATCAGCCAAAATCATATCAGCATGTGAATCTGTAATTGATGAAAGCTTATGTAAGATTTGACTATTAGAAAACAAATAATGCTCTGCACACTCAATTTTGGATATGGGGGTGCTCTCAGATCTCATGAATGAGAAGCCAAATTAATAAGACTAGAAAATAGTGAAGCCCAGTTTCATTTGTTTAGTACACGAAAAAAATACATTGGCTGAATGTTCACTGCCATCCAAAAGTTTACTACAAGAAATTCTCAAAATTTTTCATGTTACTATTTGATCACTGTATAAAATCACATTTTTGTTAGAGCATTCTCACAACAGTTTTCGAGACTTAATGCACATCAACATAACTTAAAATTCAGCAATTGATGCTAGATGCTTAGAACTTTAAATGGAGCTACAAGAAAGCAAGAATCAACAGGAAACTGACATTTACAGAGAACAAAAAGACTATATTGTCTCTGACAACATTCAAATATCCCCTATATTCTCCAGCTTTAGTTTTCATCACTCTGAGAGTGAATTAGCATTGTCATTCCAAAGTGGAAAAAGGAACATCCTATAACAAAACCAACCTGGCCCATTAATGTAATTTTAAATCATGCGCAACTTGTCAAGTATTATGATCTTGGCTGGCACTAACATATGAGACAATCTCAAATAAGAAATGAATCCGAGTACATTATTATTATTATTTTTATCTCATTACTACCACTCCGATCTTCATCCTATGTTTGAACCGAAAGAAAACCACTCATTTACTAATGATTACTTGGGGAATTCATAGTAAAGAAAGTTGTTACAGAATAGATACTATGAAAACTGTGTTGCGCCAATATGATAAAAGAGGTTGGAATACTAGGAAATGAGTAGTTGATGAAGAGAATATAGAGGATTACTGGTCTAGACTATGTTTGATAGATAGATAGTTACTGCATGGTTCTCAGGAAACAAATGAACATGGTAAATAGAAAGACAACTTTGTGTAGGCATACAAGAGTTGAACACATATCAAGACACAGGAAATTGCCTTTGTATCTATTGTACAGTTCTTCCAAACGCCTCGTGTCAGCAAAAGATTTGATATGCGGCTGGCTGTAAAATACATCAAATGCTCCTTCAAGATGCCAATCAGTAGCTTTCAAAGCCTGAATAGCGATTTTTTCACTGCATCCAAAAAAAAGAACAAGTAAAGCTACATAATAAGCGGACTCCACATAGTGGCACTTGAACAATCAACAAGATTATGAACCTTAGAAAAAGAAAACAAGAAAGGCTGATGGCATTCTCAAAGGAAGCTTGATATCCGTTGAAAAAGAGTAAGGCTATTTAGCACCACTATACTAGATGGCACTAAGTGACATTAAGGCCCTGTTTTGAGATTTTAATTTGAGTCAAAGTCAAACAATCAATATTAACCACATCTTTGGATCCCACAACTTTTCAACCATATATTTCAAAAATTTCTATCAAAATCTACTAAAAATCTAATTTTAATCCCCACCAAACAACCTCTAAATGAAATGCATAATCAAATGAATCACATAATTCTACATTTAATTTATATCACACAGTGTCACCTACACTTGTGTTGTAGCACCAGTGGTGCTAAATAACATTTTTTAAAAATTAACCCAACTTCTTAATTGATCATGTGGATAAGCATGTGCACCTAACGTGCATGCAAAATTACTCCTTGCTACACCAGCATGCAGCCAAAGCATTGCAGATATATAAGCTGAACTAAAAATTTATACATCTTGCTCCATATAATTATATTATAAATAGGCAACAGCTTCGTGAACATCAGCCTCGAAATTTTATCAAAATTTAAGAACTTCTCAGAACCATAAATATCATGCCATGAAACTTCCAATCATCAAGGTTTCATCACATATATGTAAGCTTTCTGGTATGTATATAAAGACTCTCAAACTAGCATCACAAGGCACAATCAAACAAACAAGAAAAAATGGAAAGGACAAGGCAGAAATCTCAAAAAGAATTCATTATACTAATTTAAAGAGCCCAAGAGAATAAAATGGAGACCGCATGTTTACAGAGTATATATACTTATTCACGAATGATTTATAATCAGATAAATTAAGTGAGCAAGTGAAAAAGAGTAATCCTTAAGATCTGTAACGAGAATAGCTAACATGAGCATCAAAAGCACTCACAACTACTTCTTGCCAGTAAGTCTACACTCACGAAAAGTCAAGCAATCCCCTTGCAGAAGGTGTATACAATTGTATTCACCTCAAAACTGCACAAAATATTTCAGCCCAATGCAATTTTACAGCAGACGCAAGAATAGAACATTTAAGAACCGCGTAACAAGGTCAGAGACTAAACACTGATGTGTAGAAGTAGTTACCAGCTCAAAACGAAGTCTCTATCTGATAACAATCAGTAAAAAAATTAAGCCTCAAAGTACAGTTTGATTCAGTAATATACCTTGCCCCCGTAACCGTCGTGAATTGCTGCACTTTGTCCCGTTGCCCTCTACCCAATTTGTTCTGTCAAGCAAACAACACCTCATCATAATCGATTTTATTACCATAAAAATTACAAAATATCTGCTATTGTTTCAGCTTAATTTTTGCCAACGAAGCATCCAATAATAGTATAAATTAGTTTCTTAGAGGAAATTTTCGAACTTTATCACTTCTTTATTCAATTAAGAACTGAAATAAAATAAAATAAAAATCGCCAGGGTAGCTAAAAATACTTCTACTCACCATTTTGAGCAGCGGTACCAAACGCTAATAACCGAGATTTTGATCGAATCGTTAAGAGGAATTCTACAGAGAGACAATTAGTGCGGAGAATCGTTGCAATTTCTCTCTTTCTCACCTGGTCCGCCGTCGGATTCTTCGTTCTTTTCTTTTCTTTTCTTTCTTTCCTTCCTTTTCACTGGTTGCGCAATCACTACACGCTCACCCCATACCTCACAAACCACGGTAAAATGTTCCCTTTTTAGAAAATTACATCTGAAGTCCCCAACCTATACCAAGAGGAGCATTTAGGTCCCAGCCTATAAAATGATGAATATGAATCCCGAAGTTTCACTTTTGTAGCACTTAGGTTATCAATTGATAGGATAATTGGTAGACCGCCCCCTAAAGTGGGAGAAATTACCTTGGTAACAGATGGGACGGAAAAAACATTGGTTGGGACTCGTACAATCCAGTTCTATGTTTAGCGTTCGCATTGTACAGTTGGAGGATGAAGTATGCTAGCATCTTTATTATGACATGTTTGATTATACTTCAAAGTAAGAACTTACTTGTAAGTAATTCACTTTGCCAAACATGCTCTAGTGGTTTACTTTTTATATGCAAAGCGTCTGAATCCTAATCATCTCAATAGTTAAAATGAGATATGTTATGTGTTTAAAAGGTTGAACCCCAACTTTAAGGGTCCCCCACCGCCTCTGCCCTGGAGTATCGTGAGGGAGGTAAATCGCAGGTTATGTCTTCAAGGATACAGGATGGAAGGCTGCTTGTACACTTGTACTTACCCAAAAGCCAAATCCATATTTCAGGATTCGAACCCTTGACGCAGCAGCCTCAAGTAAAGCTGGATTTCTCCACCCCATTTTACCATTTAGAGGACGAAGTAGGCCTGTATCTGTCCTAATAAATTCTATGTAGATCATATTTGATTATGCTTAAAAGTAAGTCAAACTTCTAAGTTATTTACTTTGCCAGACATGATTTTCAACTTTTATTTTTGGACATTGTATAACTTTTTATATGCACATGCCTGATTATCTTATTAGTGAAGGAGATCGATATTATAAGATACGGAGGGTGTTTGATACCCATTTTTATTAAAAAATGAATTTTAAAATAATAGATTAATGAAAAATATGTGGACGAAAAATAAGGACAAGTTTTTTTTTTATTTACGTGTAATACTATTTTAATGAAGATTGTGTGGTTAAAAAATAAAGAGAAAATATATTTTGATAAAAATGAGAATCGAACGGGGCACAATGATAGCTCCCTGAATTGTATTTATCCGAGTCGAGAAAAATTTTCTACTTGACGTCCATTTCATTGGGAATAGGCTTTGCTTCTTATTGTTTGTTTGTAGCTATTTTTTTCTTATAAGTCTCTATTTCTTGGAATGTGTTGATTCATCCTTACTCTTTGCCCAGCTCGCAGTGGAAATTGCCAACAAGAACATTGGTCTCCAGGAAGAATATCATTTCTGAGACGAGAAGCTACTGATTTTATGAAGAATGCTGTTTCCAAAGGTTAATGAGAGATTTTTCTATTTGACCTATCACTATTCCTTTTTTATTGAAAGGTCTATATTACCCTTAATGAAATGATTTTTTCTATATTGCAACATATATCCTAATTTTTTAATATTTTATCTTCTATTTTGAATATTTGAATATAAATCCATTTTATGATCTAATAAATAAGAATAATATGCAACATATATTTCTAATTAAAATACTATATTTTTCAAATAGTAAATTTATATTTTCTAATTGAGAAATAATATTTTTTATTTTTTCTAACATTCTTTCTAATAGATTATATAATCCTTCAATTGTATATCCTGACATTTATTCATACAAATAATCCTCAATTAATCCATACGATTCTTTAAGATCTTAAAAAGATTCATTCTAATTTTAGCAAAAAATTAATAGTTTTACCTTAGGTTTGATCTGGACTTTTATTCTTAGAATCGAGTGACCTTCAAGCTCTGAATTTGTAAACTACTTCCTTCAACGGCCTCCTGCCTTCATGGAATTGTTACTATTTCAATTACTTGCTCTCACTGTATCAACTTCTAAAGAATAAAATTCTAGATTTTTGTTAAAGAAAAACTTTCTTTTTACTAAAATAAGAAGGAAACTTTTTATTAGATGCTTCAAGAATCTATGAGAATAAAGATTTAGAAACTCATATTGATATCAAAATATTTGAGTTTTATTTCTATTTATAAAATACTTCTATTTAGTACAAAGGAATTTTCAGAAAAAACTGGTTTTTCAAGTTGGGAATGGTTTTAAGAGTAACTATTGCTTACAACTCGAGATTTCAAGATAGGATGAGATGATCTCTATCTATGACAATGTTTCTATTTATAAAAGTTTGAGAGACTCTATTACATCATTGAGTACATCGGCAAAGGTACACTTGCCTCTCTATTATTTCCTCATTGGGTCTATATCTTCACATGCTGCTTCAACTTTTTATTCAAAGAACATCTTTTTATATTATTGATCTTTTTCTTCAATGTCTTCACATGCAGCTGTATTATTGTTCTCCATACACCTTTGTCAAATGTGCTCTATTATTGTCCTTTTCCTTTATTTCTTCACATGCAATAGAGGCACTCCCTTAGCTAGCAAGATTCTTTTATAGTGGTAGAACATCCTGAAAATTGATGTATATTGAATCTTGTAATATAGTCCTTTAAAATTTCTGCTTTTCCATATCCTTCATTGGATATCGAAACGGTCACAATTTTATTAAAAATAAAATAAAATTATTTAGGGACCGAAACGGGTCCTTTTCACTTTTTAACAAGAGCCTAGCTCGTGGCTCGTTAAAAACGAGCCGCGAGCGGCTTGTTTCCTTTGCGAGTTGAGCGGGCTTGGCTCACCTACCAAATCAGCCCGCTCGGCTCGCGCTCGGGCTCATGTTTTTACGAGCCTAAGCCGCTCACGAGCTCTGTTTTCGCGAGCCGACAAGCTGCTCGGCTCATTTACCACCCCCATCTCTATGGCTCTAATACCAATAAGGGGGGACTACTTAGAACGAACAAAAATCAAATAAATCAAATTAAAGTATTAATCAAATAAATCAGACAAAAACTATCAAATTTCAACCAATATTTAATTTTAAGGATTAAAATAGAGAATTTCTATATTATAGTATATTATTATGTAATATTCAAATGGAGGGCATTTTTGGTATGTAAATTGACCGAGGGTCATTTTGGAAAAGTGATCATTTTCTAAAGGCTTCATGTATTTCCCAAGGTTAATCATGAGATATAGTTTCCTTGGATCCACGTAGAAAGGTACTCTATGTGCCCGACTTTTCATGCCTTTCCATGCTTTGTTTAAGTAGCATGCGATTCGATCTTCCGTACCAAATATGATACTATAGTAAGGGGAAAAAGGTTCTCCACTTGCACGGTAATTGAAGGTGGCCATTAAACAATCAATTCATAAATAATAATGAATCAAATTTACATTTAAAATTTTGAGGCAATAAAAATCCGTGTAATAGGTAAAAGGGTACAATTTTTGGAAAAATAAGATAGCAAGATAATAGCCACTACTACGAAGCATTGCCTAAGGATGCATACACCAGGGCCTTATCTGTGAACTAGTTTAGTGACCTTCTGGATTCCAATTCCACGACAAATATGATGGATCTCCGAGTTGCCTGGGACAGAACACGTAATGTCACATATCAGCAGCATATAAGAGCACACAAATGAGGACTTGACTAACCAATGAAACATGGGGAAAGGAAGAGATGCTTTGATAAAGCTACTGGAGCAGGTTAGAAAATTATACCTTGGCCTTACTAGATAAATAATTACGAAAACCATGGCGAGGAAGAAGCACAATCCACCCACAGTGAGATGTACAATACCAAGAAAGTCATTCTTCCCTCCAAGCCAGCTAGTGGTAGAAAGAACAAGTTTCTTCTTGCCATCGAAACTGTATGTGTTATAATTGTTTTCCAATGTCACACTGATGACATCATCAACCTAAAGATCCATCTCAATTTTCCCATACAATTTCCTGAAAGTTGGAAGAGCTGCAGTTCGCATCCAAACAATAAGGTCTTCCTGCTCACTCAACTGTAACATGAAATGATATTCATTGATGATTGATGGAAATTAGTCTAATCAAATAAAACTTAATAAATTTAATGAAAGGTTTTCTAGTTCTCAGTTTTCACAGCGTAAGCTTGATCTTTCAACACGTTACTTTAAAGACGTTAATGACGAGTGTTGTTTTAGACTCAATTGGTTTAACATAGAATTCCCAAAGTTGTCTTTGTTCTATTTGCATATAACAATCAAGCACACATGATAGTAGAAGCAAGGTATTTGTATGGAAACAGAATGTGAGTTATGCCATAATGCTGAGTATAAATCATACGTTCTTCCAATGCTTAGGTTCAAAAATTTATTTAAGTCCCCAATCTTGGGATTGCAAACTGCAGTGGATTGTGAATATCATAATAGGAATTAACATTTTGATCAGAAATACATCAATTTAAAATTGATCCACCAAGCAATTATGCTTCTTGCAACCCACAGAAATCCGTCCCATTTTGATAGAATTTTAGTTTCATACACTCAATTAAAATCCAAATATGACGTTAATTTTCATACTTCAAGAATCTTGTGAGTAAACATGGCTAGAGGCTTGCTGGTTTCAATGGATCAAGACGTGCACCACCTATAAGAGTATTATTCTGAAAGTTCTTTGGGTAGACGTCTTTGCCAAATTTGCGATCCCTATCACTCTTCCATGAGATTTTTTCTTGTTTATGACCAAATGCTGGTTGTTGTGGGTGAAGTCATAAATATCATCGAACAGACTCTAGGCTACAAGACCACAAGGAACAACTTCAGGCTTACATGAACTTGTATCATCCTTACTTCCTGGGCTTCTCAACTGCTGATCACTTCGACTCTTCACGTACCTGAAAGCGAGTTAACATCAAACCATAAAATTTTTAAATGAAAAGTATGAAATATAATCGCCTAATGATGCCCATCAAGATTATCCTCAAGCAGTAAAGAAAGATGTTAAAAGGCAACTATGAAAAATATAAAAGAAAACCAAAGATAATTTGTAATCATTTTTCCTTTTTTTTTTTTTTTTTGGGGGGGGTTGGGGGGTTAAATGTGGCATTAATTTGTAATCTTAGGGAATAAATAAGGTTACATGCACTTGAAGAAAAT